GGGGGGGGGGGGGGGGGGGTAAAAGTGGCAGTGAATTACCGGTGGTGCTCAGACGTTGACGTAGAAGTAATTTATTCACTCTGGGGGTGTCGGATCAAGTTTATAATCCAGCTACAGCCCTCAGATAGCGAGTTTGATTCCTGTGAAGTTTCGAAAACAACAGTGGCCCTCTGTTGATGTAGCTGCCATAACAGAAAGTCCCTCCCACCTAGTGCATGCCGCTTTTATCTCGCCCTTTTTTCCGTCGCCCGCATCCCAGGCCATCTTCCCTCACGCAGTCACGCACCAAGCGCACTGCTCTACCTCACTGCACTCCACTCCACTCCACCTCCACCTCGACGGTCCGCTGCGTCAACCCGCTGGTTACCTGTGACTACTGCGACCCTCGATTTACCTCGTCATTGCATTCATTGCCTTTGCCCTTCCGTATTTCCACGTGTGTCATTTCTTCGCATTTCCATCACCTTTCCTGCTTCCTCCCGAATTTCCTACTGTCTGTTGTTGCATAGAAAAGGTTTGTGTGTTGCTGCGCGGAACTGCGTGCACTGCTACCATTTCTGCTCTGCCTCCGCCTCCGCCTGGAGATTGAGTTAATCGCGCGACAGAATCGGACTGCCACTTGAACTCCTCGATTGCGACGCGTCACCGCATTCATCCCATCTGCTTCTTCACATATGCCCATCAAGAGCACGCTGCGATCGCGATTTTCCCGTCGTCATTCAGGAGTTCAATGTGCACCGAGGCGTGAAGAAAGATCCCCCAAGATAGCGATAGCCGCCCAGTTTGCGACCGCTGCAGTTGCAGTCCTCGAGCCCTCGACGCCGCGGTGAATGCGACGAGACATCACTCCCTCGAATCCCTCTCCTTTCACCTCCACCTCCGTCTCTCTCTATTCCTTTCTACATTTCCCCTCGAACGGATGGCTGCTCGGTCGTCGGTTCCAATCCACCCCAACGCTCCCCTCTCCACTCGTCAATTGCGCCATGAAGCTCAGAACGATCGTCCTAAACTGCCCAGAGGTGGTTGCAATTATACAAATCTGTGTGCCGTGGGGGCTCCAAAGTGCGGATGTCGAAGATACTGGGATAAAGAATTGTGTGCGGTGGATGAGAGAGGGGTTGTGAGCAAGTCGGCCATGTGTATGTGTGAGCATCATGCTTGCTTTCACGATGATGAGCCCGAGGAAAGTCGTCATGGCCGCGCTCAACCCGAGTTATCTAGCCATCCAGCGCGCTCGACGACTCCCAAGCAGCAATACTTGGAGCCGATTCCTAGGAGGCCTTCAATTTCCGAGGCATCAACTCACCGAGTTGCGCGAGATTCGACGCTCCCAGACACGGTCCAATGGAGTCGGTTTATTCATCATTCTGGCTCTCCCGAAGCCCTCCCTGCCATTCCATCCCAGTGTCTTCTCCCGTCGGAGAATGGATCTTGGACTACGACTGACAGTCAACCCAAGTATCACCTCCCCTTTGGCGGCCAAGGACTGAATACGCTTAGCCATATACCCAGACGGGCTTTGGGAGAAATTGCGGAACCCAAGTCTGCTCAGCCTTTGGTAGAGAACACGCGGGCGATAGGGAATGGACGAGAGATGCAGGTCTATACCGATGCCAATGGAAATATGGGATTGCAGAGTATCACTGAACTTGCGACGCCGAGTCTAGCTACTTCGGTGGATCACGAGGCTGCCGAGTACGGTAAGAGTGTTGCAGAGTTCCAAGCGACACTCGAGGAGCTCTCCAGAAGTAATCCCCAAGCAGCGGCATCAATCACAAGATGTATCAAGGAAGGCTCCGTGATTGATTCTTCAGTTATCTTGAAGCGATCAAATTCACCAGCAGCTGGAGACTCGTCCACTGCCAAGCTTGATGACCATCTATTCTTCAGGCTTCAAAGCATTGCTATTCGATTGGCCAGGTTACCACATACTATGGAAAATCACGAAAAACGGTTGGATGCCTTGGAGAATGCTTCTTTTACCTTTTCCGCCGTGGAAGAACTTCAAGAAGACCACAAGATTGTAGATGTGAGAGTTGGTGAGTTGGAAGCGAAGAATGACACTCTAGAGAGTAGGGTCCTGGATCTTGAAAAGGGTCAGCTTGCTCTAGACGCGGCTAGTGTGGGCAGCAGCCATGATGTTGCAGCTTCCATCGATTCTAGGGTATCAACTGTCACGTCAGTTCACAGGGCGGACCTTGAAGCGCTCAAGGAAGAAGTGGCGGAACTTCGTTCATTGGCACCACCATCTCATGCTCGTCCTTGGGAGGTCGAGGTTGTATTCTTGCCATTTGGATATGATTTGAAAGGAGTGTGGCGTCTGAATCATGAAATGAGTCAACATTCCAGAGCCAACAGTTCTGGGGAGACACGGACTCAGAATCAGTCGATGGCTGCTGCTCAGGCCATGCTTACTGCCCCTGATCAAGTATTGGCCTGGGAACGTTCTGGTACGTCCAACCTTTTTAAGCTATTCTTGAATTTCTTTTTAATTTCTTTTTTTTATTAATTTCTTTTTCTTTTTTCGATTTGCAACAGTAAATGTGTGGTCTGAACACCATGACATGTTGCTTCATAATTGGAGGGTTGCTTTTCGCAACATTGTACATTTTGATTCAACATGTTATATTTTTCTTGCAATCTGAATGACTTATATCATTTCGAATGCCTCAATAACACTACAACAACATCCCGAGAGTTCGGATGAGGTAGTGTTACTTAGCTTTCAGGAAACCTTTAATATCATGTTGGCGTATTGAAACATGTCGTCCCCCCCATGCTCCTCCTTGTCATCACAAGGGGACGCAGAATTTCATTCTCCGAATATTCCAATGCTTCATCAGTTTTGTTACTGGGGTGTTTTGGGTCAAATACCAGTCTCGTTGTATGAATGGAGCCACAAAGCTGGGGCATTGCTATCATGAATGATTCACGAGTTCCTGTACCTCTGCTGCTATATTTCAACACAACCCACCCAATTTTTATATCCTTGCATTAATTATCTGAAGGACAATACTAATGTGCAACAGGCCCCGATTTTGATGATCCGATTGAAGTATCTTGGCTGAATGCGAGGGCATGCAGTCGTGGGAGCATAATGGATCAACGACTTCGAAGTCGTGGACTTGTGAAACAGATACAAGTCTTCGGCCCGGATGCTATAGATGTTCAAACAGCCATCATGACTGCTTTTGGGAACCTCCCAGATTTACTCGTGGACGATCCATACACCCCACGCGATGACGAGAAGAGATATGTACCAAATTCGTCCACCAATTATCTCGGACTACAGGCTTCTTGGATTCCTCTCAGAAAGTTGCATAAAAACTCTTCGCTTCGATTTCTTAGTACCTCCGAGATGCTTACCCCCGCTTTATGGACAGTTCAATTTCTTGCTACCAGTGTTGCCATGAGAACGAAAGGACTCAGAAGGCTTTATGTGACCCATAGGGACGGCTACATTCAGCAACATGGAGATCCTACGGATTGGACTTGGCAGAAGTTGCGACAATTGCCCAGGGTTTATTATCCTGACCAAATGGACCCTTCTTTGACAGACCATACACCAGAAGCAGATGCTGAAGAGCCATGCTGGGCATTCGATGCATATTATGATCCTCCGCCTCTCTTGGATGTCAATACTTCTTTTGCATCACAGGTCTCTGAGCTGAGCATCCGCTCGCTTCGTTATGAGGAACCACCCGTCTCACCCTCCGATCACTTCTCCTCCGCCCCTCTCTCCCCCATCGAATCATCAACTCCAGTTTCAAGAGCCCCGCCTGTAAGAAGACCAGCCTCACCAGTGATGGAGCGTAATCCGTTTCGTCCATTGCATATTCGTACAATATCTATGCCTACCTCGGTTCGCCTAAAGTCTCCTGCACCATCGAGTAAACGTCGTATCGGCTCCTTTGAACAAGAAGTGCCCTCTTCGCCCAGTCGAGCAACTTCTACGTCAACCAATACGGTTCTCAAACGTCGTCGTATCTCGAGATCTCCCAGTCGTGCTGCTATCAATACACCTCGTTGGAGTGCTGCCCCGTCTAGTCCTTATGCGTACGTGGAGGAAACTACAAGCAAGCGAGCAACTACTCCCTTTGCATATGCCACTCCACATAGCAATGCGCCATATGTGGATACGAGACCTAAAGGTGCTGCGGAAATCGAGATATACCAGGATCGATTCGAGGACAGCGATGATGGGGGGGACTTTGGCAGTGCCACCAATGAATTTGAAGAAGACGACAGCGGTGGCGAGATACTTGGCGGGAGTGACGCTGATCGTGAGTCATCGGACCCGGATGATATCCAACCTGATGAGGAATGGCAGGGGGTAGAAGATAGACGTGAGGGTACGGAGTACGAGGGGCACTCGCGTGCAACTCCCAGTTTTGGTCTTGGCCTCGGTCTGTTGGAACGCGTTGATTCGATGCAGCGGGATGACGATGAGGATGTCCTGAGTGATGCTAGTAGTGGCCCTTCGGAGTATATGTTCGATACGCAATCCAAGATGAAGAAGGCGAAGAAAGAGAGGGCTCGTGCGAGGGCTTTGGCAGGGTTTGAAATCCACGTTGATGAGGAGTGATGGGGTATTTGGGAGTGCATGGCGGGTGGTTGTATGATGGGTTGGAATCTTTTCTGCTTCTTTTCTTCTGTTGGTTTTCAGGTTCTTTGGGATTATGTACCATTTATGGCGAGCGTTGGTGTTGGCGTTTTGGATTATGCTACAAGATAGACAAAGTTCGCCACGATTTCTGGGGGTTTCTTATAGGAGGGCCTTATCGAGTACTAGCGTTTGGTTTTGAAAGATTAAATGGCCACTGTGAGGATTCCTGCAGTCATGATGTTCAAGGGTGGGGTGCTAGGAAGGCTTGCGCATATGTACGTATAGTATAGGATGGTATGGTACTCTACTCTATTCTACGATGAAATTGAATTGAATGAAGATAGGATTAGATAAGATGAGATGAGATGGGATGTTGTGATGTGAAGGGGTTTGTTTGGTGTGTGTGTGTTTAGATGAGTAAGGGGGCTTAGGGGCTTAGGGGTTTTGGGGGGAGGGGAAGGGAGAGGGAGAGAGTGAATGAATGGGTGAGTAAGTAAGTGGGTGAGTGAGTGAGCAAGTGAGTGAGCAAGTGAGTGAGTGAGTGAGAAAATGAAGATTGGGTTATTAGATATTTCGAGATTTTCTGATCTATGTTAAGCTAGTAGATGGATAATAGTTAGTAGGTGTGGTATAGTAAGAGGCTAGAGCTAGTAACTAGGTTAGGGAATAGATATCGGGTAGGTATTATAAAATATAAAAAAGGCTTAGTTTAGTCGCGAAAGAGTATAGTATAATACTTCAAGGTATAAAATGATATAAACCTGTTTGATTTATAGAAGTAAGGAAGGTGTGTAGACTAGGTTATTAGTTGGATTAATAGCAGGCTTTATAGGTACTATAGTAATTCTAAATCACTTTAGTTCTACAGAATAAGTACTCCTTAGATAACTGAAGAAACTAAAGAAATTAAGCTAGAGTAGATTTGTAATTATATAATTACACTAATAAAAGTAGCGTGAGTAGGCAACGCTATCAAGTTATTCTTATTTCTTGCCGCCCTTGGAATAATAGAACCTCGAGGGCATATACCACATTTCCTTTCTCCAACAAACCCTCATGTCGACTTTACAGTCGGCAATTCCGCCATGTGTAATCTCGCCGCGCCAAACGGGATCATTTCCACCTCAAAGAACTCCCCTAAACACGTTCTCTGACCCGCCTCCGGCGGATCACCTGGAACCCCGAACTCCACACTCCAAGCAATGCAGCAAGCCTTTCCAGAAATCCTTCCAGGTGGGGCACCCACGTCGAAGATGGGATTTGGTAGTACGTAATTTGGCTCTTCGCCAACGGTGGAATAAGTCAGTGTCGTAGGGTCAATCGCGATGTTCCAGGGCTCGGTATTGTTGATGGAATAATCTCGTGTTTTGTTGCTGATGTGCTGTGCAGGAAGTAGTTGCTGTGTGTTGTATTGATGAGGTGGTGTGGATGTGCTACTGCCGTTGATGGGGATTGCGTAGAGAAGCTGTCCGTGGTAGATTGCTACAGTATCTCGTGCTCGGGGGACGATGCGTATATCTGTACCGATCGTGTAAACCAAAGTATTCGTTCCGCTAGAGATCGAAATACCATGCATGGCAGTGGTTGAATCTGGGGTCAATGGCTGCTTGTCTTCTCCGGTTACTTGAGTTGAAGAAGTGGACATGTTTGCCCACTCCGGGACTCGGACATAAAAAGTGAAATCAATTGTGCTGTCGATGATGTAGGTGAGAGTATCGGAGAATGGGTAACTAGTAATGCAGTTGATAGAAACTGCTGCACCTTCGAGGGTTGTGGTGAGTGTTGATGGGATCAAGGCAGCGTGTCCAATTCCAGTAGATCCAACTTTCACGTATGAGGAGGCCACGAATTTCGGATATCTGAAGACAGTTACTTCGATGCAATCGCAAAGCTCAATTAAGACTATCTTACCCTTGAGGATGGTTGACCGTACAGCAAGGATAGTTTCTAAGTGTTAGAATCAGTCATGTTACTAGACTAGAATAAGAAGAATTGGGACATACGGTTCAAGACCAAAGGTTTGCCCTACGGTATTTACATTCCAAAATGGATTACCAGTTAAATTTACCGAGTAAGGCTATTTTCACATTAGAGTAGTCTTCTTTGAAGAAGGCAAATAGCACATTACCTGATTAGTTTGAGTCATATATCTTGGTGGGCGGTTAGTTGTCAAGATCTTTTTCCATTTTACAGACTGATGAATGCTTACTGATGACTCCACCAGTCGGGGGAGACTGCAGTAGGAAGCGCGTTGAAAGCAGCCAATTCTGCGCGGTCTGCAAAGTATGAATTACCCAAGGCACGATAATTGTATCCAAGTGAAAACATCGCTTCGACAGTCGTGCAAAGTTCCGAGCCTCTTGTTGGAGAAAGTCCAGCCCAAGGTTCATCACCTATTTTGAATTAGCAAAATGACTTTCTTGATTTCGGCAATGTCAGATATACCAATGATAGTTCCGGATATTTGGCCATGGTATTCGAACGTCCAGTTGTAACCTCTCTGGGCAACATCGACCAGTGATTCGTTGTGGGTGAACCTACGAACAACGGCAGGTGCTTTGAGACCCATAGCGGAGTTCACACCATGGTAATACCAGAAAAGTAGATCATCGTCCGGTGGAGGATTGATGCTCATGTCAGCGAATGGAAATATCTCGGGACTGTAAAAGTAGGCCCAGTCCCAGGCTGCATCGTTGAAATACTTCATATTTTGTAACAGAAGATCTTCATTGCCTTCGGGATAACTGTTCAAGGTTAGCGGGAGCGGTACAAAAGAGAATGGAGGCGGTGACTTTTCGTAGAGCCATTGAAGAGAAAGTATCATATCTTGTGAGCGGGTGATTCCCCAGTGGTAGTCAAAAGCACTGTCATTTCTACCAACATAGCCAAGATAATTGTCCGCCAGCATCGAGTTCATTACCTTCATAAAGCTATACAATTTTGGAATTACGTAGGGAGCTTGTTGAGGTTCAGCCTCGAGGAAGGAGGTAAGACCCATTAGTACGAGTGTCCTTGGCCAGAAGAAACGCCTCTGTGGGGTTGTCTCTGGTCCAATCCAACCATCTTCGAATTGATTTGATAATATGTAAGAGACGGATGTGTTAACTTGATGGATAAGACGAGCATCACCTAAACCATAAGCCAATGGAACTATGGCATTGAACCCTGGGAACATTAAATCAGCTTGCACTCGATTCACAAATCAAGTGATGTATTTGAAGATTAGAAGTGTCCGCGCTTTCGTTTCACCAAGTCAAATTTTCAAACATCAATGGATGCCACAACAATGAAAATTTGTAACTCACAATACGGCCAAGCCTCATCGAGACTCGAGTACTCCAGTTTGCCTCCTATCCAAGTTCTGTGTACTAGTTTCAGCCCTGGGCAGTGTGCTTCCTAGTGGATCCATAACTTACGAATTACTCACAAATCGGTAAAACTCATATTCATGTCCCGCTAGGCCCGCCGACATGAGCTCCATCTGATCCAAAATCCATCCTTGTGGTTTGATGGATCCAAGAGGGATTGGATCAAAAACATAGGGTACCACTAGCTCTGGTTAGACCAGATATCATAAGATACTATTTTGGGGTATTACACACAGGCACTTTTCACAACTTTTGTATGCAAAAGTAGCTGTGAGATACCGAGAAGACCATGGAAGAGAAGGTCACAGAGGCGCATGATTTTGAGTGACTTTGGTACAATAAAAACGCTTTGAGGATAGGCCACCAAGGCGGAGATATTTGAGTATATGAACATGTTTAGGCTGTGGAAAGCTATCAGTGATATCGCGGAGTGCTATTTTGTAGATTGCTTTGCATCGGGTAAAGCATTAATTTGCCTTGTTGGGTAGGTGGAATTCGATTCCATTCAACGTTCAACCCAGATTTTCTTATCGCCCAAATTTGGGGCGCCTCCCCCGCCTTACCATCCGCGATCGAGGGGGGTGCTTCCCCGCTCCCCATCCTAGATGACCACCCACTCTTCAACACCAAAGGAAAAAAAAGGTTAGATAGTGGTCCTGGAGTCTGCTGGGTTCATCATTTTCTGTTCATATTATAGTGCACACCAAATTAAATGACTCCAGATCTAGAGTCTCGATGTGGTGCAATAATATGCATGGAGAAATTATTGTCACCATTCCTTACCCCAACTTTGTAGTTCTACCCGGAAATACTGCGATTGAGGGAAAAGGATATGTATTGGGAGACCGGTTGATCTGTTCCAGTTATGTGAAGATTGCGATGATCCCACCATCCCAATCCGGTTATAATGACTTGGACTATAGATTTATTCCAATAACACCCACTTCACCAATGCCCCTCACCTTACTCTGAAGAGCTGCGTTGAGGCTGTTTTATGCTAAATCATTTCAGGGTTTCAGGTGCAGGTGACGCAGTTTATACCAAAATAAGTAGTTGGGTGAATAACAATGATCGCCACAGAATCGTGGGATTTAATTATTGAAGAAAACACCTTAGAATCCCGACTTACTGTGAAGTTGTTTACAGACCTTGGACACGATGCTTCTTTTCGATATATTTATAACCTTTGGGTACTTGAGTTCGCTCGTCCAGTGTGCGTATCAAACATTCGAGTCATCCACTTTCACTGCCAAGCTTGATACCTCGTCTCAAACTTTAGCCTCGCTATCTCCAAAGTCTCTTCCTTCTTTTGACTTTTCGCCATTTGATGTTATCTCCAGTCGCTCAGCAAACGGTAATTACCATGTGGGCGACGTTACACTTCGATATCGTAACGTGGGAGCCACTGCATGGACAAACATAAATTCTGCAACGGCACGGGCCGCAGTCAAAGCTTCTGCAATCTCGGGAACAAATTTCGCAGCATCAGATTTAACGCCAACGATACCTGCTGGGTCACCTTTCAACATCACGAGAGCGTGGGGTTTTGAAACTGGGGACTTGACGCTGAAGGTTACGCTGTTAAATAACCAAGCTAGCGATATTGAAATTGGCGCTTTTGGTTTTCCTATAGAGTTCAATACCATTTTCACGGCGAGAACGTCTGTCGATACTCAAGCCAAATGCTCCTTGATAGATCCCAATATAGGGCTTGACGGGGGATTTCTTAGAGGTAAAAATATTTTTTAATTATCCAAGCATTCCGTTTTCTAACCAATATTTTAGTTACGCCGTTGAGTGGAACTGGCCCAGCACTTGTTATAACCCCTATGTAAGCTGAACTCACATAATTCTTCTTTGCTTCACGTGATCCACTTCGTCATAACCCCGAATTTCACGCCAAAAAGCTCGGTCGAGTGATTGACTTCTTGAGTTTGGCCTCTCAAGTTTCTGTCTACACAAAGTTCGCTTGGATTATCGGCTTCCCGTATTCACTAACCTCCCAACAAAACTCGAACCAATCAAGTAAAGTATAGCTAACTTTAAGCTTTCCCCTCACAGAAACGCGCCATTTGAAGCTTGGAGATTCCTTACAGAAAATACAGGCACTTCACTTGCATACCAAAGTCAAACCTTCGAAGGATTTTATTCATGGGAAACATTCACAAAAGCCTACGCGGAAAACGAGTGGAAGTCTACTGTACCATGGAACCCTCCAACTTCCAAGATCCTCGCCTCGAAACAATCCATCACACTAGGTCTGAAGTTCTCGTTAGCAGATGAGATAGCTACCATCGGGAATGCTGTTATTGCTGCAAAGACCCCTCTTGCAGTTGGTACTCCAGGGTATATCATCCCGCAAGATTTGCAGGCAACTTTGAAACTTTATTACAACAGCTCTGTTTCCTCTATCAGTGCAGTGCCCACGGGCGCATTTACATTTAAATCCACCACTTCAAACCAGTATACTCTAACACCAAGCTCCTCGGCATGGGGTCGACTTCGTGTCATGGTAAATTATACCGACGGAAAATCGCAAAGCATACACTACTATGTTACTAAATCTGCCCCAAAAACGATCTCAGATCTCGGTAACTTTCTAACAACCTCACAATACTTTAATGATACCTCAGATCCCTTTGGTCGCACACCATCCATCATTTCATATGATCGCTCAGTCAACAAGATGGTAACTCAAGATCCCCGCGTGTGGATAGCGGGATTAAGCGACGAGGGTGGTGCGGGTTCCTGGTTGGCAGCTGCTATGAAGCAAGCAGCACAGCCCAATGCAGCAGAAGTTACCAAGCTCGAAGATTTCATTCATAAAGTGTTATGGAAGACACTACAAAACTCTGACTACAGTGTTCGCAAGAGCGTGTTCTTTTATCAGCCAGGTCAGGTGACCTACACTTACAATTCAAGTCTTAGTTGGGGTAATTGGTGGAGTTGGAATAAAGCTAATGCTTTTGCAACGGATCGTGCGTATGACTATGTCCATGTGGCTGCGGCCTATGTAAGTCTTCTCCCGCAGCTTCTTTATCATGAAACTGACATTTAGTACAGTGGGCAATTTATCGAGTTGCCCGTGGTTACCCCTCGCTGGTAAGTTGAAGCCTTCTTTCTTGTATTTTACCATTGTAGAGAAAAGAAGCTAAAACTCCGATTTCAAGGTCAAACAAGCAGACTGGAACTGGTACCTCACTCAAGCCTACAAAACAGTATCCTTCTGCATATCCACCAACGTAGGATACAGTCAGGTAGGCCTGATGGGCGAAACCGTCTTTGGCTATCTTCTTCTCGACCTGCAGCGTGAGAATCTCACCACTGATGCAAAGAATCTTGAGCAACTCATGCGTACCCGTGCTGCACGTTGGAATTCTGAAGCTGTTCCATATGGAAGCGAGATGGCGTGGGATTCTACAGGACAAGAGGGCGTGTATTACTGGAGCAAACACTTCAACTTCACCACGACTGTTGTGAAGACTATTCATTCAATTCTTGGTTTTACTCCAGGGGCAGTTAGTCATTGGGCTTGGCAGGGAAATTCCAGACGTTATTGGTTAGTTGGAATCACTCCTTGCCACCTATTGTTTACATTGCTGGCTTGGCGCTGAGCGAACTCCATTTCAAAGAACCGTCAAGCGATCTCCCTGATAAAGTTTGCGAGGAAGCTAATTCAATATTCAGGGACAACATTTACGGAGGGAAATTGATGCGCTATGAAAGACAAGGCCATCATTATGGGTCCGCACTAAATGCACTTCCTCTTCTCGACTACTTCCAAGCAAATCCATCGATGACCTACCTTTTACGGGTAGGATATGGTGGTATGAATGGCCCCCTAAGCAATATTGACCAAGAAGGTTTCGCTTCCGCGAGCTTCCATACGTGGCCCGACACTCTGGCCTTTGACGCGTACAGCGGAGATTACGGACCAGGATTCTTAGGGTTGGTACTTGGTGCAGGCACATATATTATTGAAGAGTATGGTGAGACCGTGGTTTTCGGTGGAAACCTGAGCCAAGATGGCGATGCGTTAGTGGTGGAGTTGAGGGATGCGGTGAGACGGAGAGTTTATTTGGGAAAATATGGGATAGAATTGACTGTTGATGCTGGTGCTATCGAGAAGGTGAGGGTTGTGAGTAATCAGGTGATAGTTTCGCTGGCGGCTAGTGTTGAGAGTATAGCTGGGGAGCCAAAAGCAAATTCGTCTATTCTGTGGGTTGAGAGTAAAGTTTCGGGTGCGAGATCGTTTCAAGTCGGGGATGGATTGAAGAAAGTACGTGGAGGCTCACAAGTGGACTTGAGTGGAGGATCTGTCGACGTTAATATCACCTTTGCTTGAGTGCTGTAGTATACCTGAATCTACAGGTAATAATAATAATAGAAGACAAGTGATAGGCTTACAACTCGATTGGAAACGGCATTTCCAAGTGAGTACTATTTACTAAGTTATCTTAATATTCTTGCCTATGAGGCCAGACGGGCTCGCAGGCTCGCCCTCGCGCTCTTATTACGTCTGATAGTCTCTTAATAAGTTTATTTAATTTATATATTATTTACTTATTATTTAATTAAGAGTTAAATACTAAGGAAAGACGTACTTGCCAGGCGGATCACGTGTCCAGGCTCTAAGCGACACACCCCTAGTACCCTACCGAGCCTACCTCTAGGTGGACAAGAAAAGTAGTAGAGATCACTTTTATCTTATCCTAACTTAACTAAAAACCACTATATTATATTATCTATTTAGAACTATTAAAATTATTTATCGAAAATGATAGCACAATAAGAGAAATTGTTCTAGATATTTTAAATATTCTAGTACTTAGAATAAACTTACGCTAATAGTTAAAAGAATGAATCTCTGCTACTTTTCTTGTCCACGGGGAGCCTCTCTAGACTAGCATTTGCAGACATATCCCATTCAGCGATTGAATCTTTGCCAGCCAAATCTCCTTTAACTACTAAACATCAATAGGAGTCTTGCAGCATGACCCGATGACCATTTTTCATTATCATCTATGTGCGATCCTTCTTCTAATATGACAAAGAAACATTATAGAGGATCGTACGAATTGCATGAGCCGGTTTTAACGTAGCAGAGGCTCAACAAATAGTTCAAATATCCTAGAAGTTAAGCGAGAGAATAAAGGCATAAGAAAGGAACAATGGACGAGTCGTATCACGAGCCACAGTCAAATGGGTAATTGTTTGTGACGCAGGCTGCAAAGATTCAAGTTACTCGTCAAATTGTCAAGAACTGCATGTAAATAACACGTAACCAGGAACACAGCTGTAGGTCTATGCGAAATCTATGCAGAGTAGACGGTGAAACGATTCGGATCAGGAGTGCATGCTCGACAGCGAACTCGCCTGGTGGGAATTAGCCCAATGATTATCGTTGTATACTCCAAGTCCGCTGCTTTAGATCGAGATGGCGAAGTTAAATTGAGCAGCTGATAGAAGACTAATAGCAAAAGCCTGGAGCAAGATCCCAGTAATCTCACTGACTGCAGCAAGCCCAGGGTTCTTTGGTTGTAGAGCATCATCATCATCTGCTGAAAAGTATCGCACGACCCTGTTTATTGCCTAAAGATCCTCATTGACACCTTTAGAACCCAATATTCTTCACCCCGTCCAATCTCCTCCAAAACCTGTCCCAAGCCTGATTCCATCTTCCGTCTAGTTCACTCAACCAAACCGAAAGCTTGATCTTCTCAATCTTTCCATCCACCATGATCCGTATCTCACCATCTCTGACTCCCCTCCAGCCTTCGATAGGGCCCTTAATGTATCTGTGATCGTACCCACAATAAGGCCGCCAGTACCCACTCTGTCCTCCGCCGTTCAAGGAAATCCACTTGCCATGACAAATAGTGCAGAGATCAATGTTTGTACATACAATGCAAAGATATTGTGGTTCCTCCCAGGATGACCAGGCACTACCGCAATCACCGTCACATCCTACGAAATATTGACCCACGCTTGGGAGTTTCTCTTCGTCGGGAATTGGAGGAAGAGCGTATGGTTTTGTCTTATTCTCGATTGCTTCATTTGACCTATCTTCTGAGGTGGTAGAGTCATCAGCCTCAATTTGGCCGATGGCCTTGTCAGGCTTCTCCGGCGAAAGGGTAACTTCTTCAATGATTGTTTTGGTATTGCTAGTCAAAACCCCATCATCCATTGTCGAGGTCGGAATAGTCGTCTTAGTGAGATGAACTGGTGTGTCTGCTGCACATTCATCGGTACCAATCTTTTTCTCGGTCTCGGATCTTTCTGAATCCGGCTTCGGCGTATCAAGATTGATCTCTTCTTCGAGTTGCTTCTCTGAATTGACTTGAACAGTCTCTTCAAGCGATTCTTCGGTGACCTTTGAATACATACACGAAAGTGCAATGAGTGAGTCCCGCTCCATTCCTTCCACGCACGCCAAAACTTTCGATAGCAATCTAAAACTGCTCGAATCATTCCATCCAACAGTATCAGACAAACCCTGAATACAAGTATCAAACGTTTTCTTCAAAATGGACTCAAACTCAGTAGCCGAGCCCAGTGCTCGATGCATAATGGCAAATATGATGCTCGCGTTCGAGCTCTCAATTTTAAAAACGCCTTTATTCAATTCGCTTGGAGTGAGGTAATCCTTCATCTCATTCAGCAATTTTGCTTTTTTGATTGGATCACTTGATCCTCTGAATTCTTCAAACATGATCTCCGCGAGGGCACGTCGAGATTTGAAGAAAGTCTGCTCAAGTTCAAGGTCTGTGCCGCGTGATTGGTGCTTTAGAATATCCGTATATATCTCCTTGGCCTTGTGGTCGTCCCGTAAAACGCATCTGTATGTATTTGCCAAGGCCGAGTTTACAGAATGGTAGCATTTGAGCTTGCGTTATTAAAAGGAAACAAGAATAAAATATCATGATGTTAGCCACCTCGTATCATTATGAGCTCTCAGATATTACCCCGGGTTTCTCTTATTCCTCATAGTGGGAATAGTTACCTGTGGAATCCCGATTTGCTTCACTATGAGCATGTGCCGATTTTGATCTCAGTGTTTCCGTGTAGTTTCGATAACATTGGAGAATGAATTTCTTTCCCTCTTCCCCATTCTTCGCTGCCACTCGGTCGAGTCTGAGTATCGCGTCTGTGACGTCGAAGTCAGGAGAATCAAAGATCCACGCAAACCAAGTTAGCAGTTCTGATTCAGTCCAGCCCTTGATCATGGCAAAAGTTCTGCTTGCATCTGGATCGTGTTCTTCGTCCCAGATTTTAACCATAAGTTGAAGCACAAACCCTTCCACCGTCTTATCGGGCCGCACTGCTCTCAACTCCTCGTACGCTTGAATGGCATCCTCCGGCCGTTCCTTTGTCGTCAATTGCTCCGCCTTTCTGAAATAGAGATATTCAACCATATCAGGCAGATCTTTGGACTTTCTCCAATCAAGAGGTAATACCGAGATTGCTTGATCAATATACCGTATTGGGTTCTCGTGTTCTTGTTTGGTGAACTCATTGCCCTTTTCAGCCAGATCTACAGCCAGATGAAACAAAGATGCTGTGAGATAGAACCTCAGGGAACTGTTCCCCAGGGAAAGAATATCGAAAGCTCTATTGACATATTTGATAGCCTCTTCAGGGAGATCAAACCTGGCGAGGGTGGAAGCGATTGCTCCATAGGAACCGGCATCAATTTTCATATCGGTGGAGTGCGTCATAATGGTGAGAACCGTTTTCAAGGTGTCCGATTTCACGTCGAACCCCGACTTTAGTTATTATTTTAGTAAATGCATCAGGCGAATCAAAGATTAGAAGATGGGAAAATTTTGTGGCTGTACTCACCAACTTGAAAGCGTCTCTTGCGTATTCGAATCCCCTCGAAATCTTGAAATCGTCGAAGGCTTTGAATGAGTTCAGCACATGACCCCGAGCCAGACTCATCAGAAGTTGTTCTGACGTTATAATTTCTTTCGCCCATTGTGCGACCTCGGTACCAAGAACATTCTCATCCAAAGAAATGGCACGACCTGCCCACTGCTTAACCACATCGATCCAAGATCCGTCGCCGTTTGAAGCCATTTCAGAATACAAAAGAGTGCCGAAACTCTCTATGACACGGGCAAAGTTGTTGAAATTCGTTAGAATCTTATAAAGAACAACCACAACTCTATACGCTTCGTCATCACTAATACTGTTTATATCAATTTCCTCCAGATGATCTGGAAAATACTTAGCAACATATTCGAGTAGCTTTGGTCGCTTCTCAACTTCCATTTCACTTTCGTTCTTTAATAGAAGTGAACCACAAGTTTCAAAAATTGCAAGATGAGCTGTCGAAGGCTGGGTTCGGAGCCCATTCTTTTCTGTCTTCACAACTCGAAAGTATTCTCTGAGGGGACGTTCCTGGAAGTCCAATGGTGTCTCTCCGCTTTCCATGTGGAAACCAGGCTCCTCGGTATCGTTTGTCTCAGTTTTATCGTCCGCCCTCTCCTCCAAATCTTCGTCATCTTCTTGGCTTCTGTTGAACTCTAATATCCTGAACAAATTCAGTAACAAAAAACAAATCTTATCAGATCAATGGAAATATAATACCTTGCAGATCTACCATTGATCTCATCTACAAGATCTTCAACGTCAAAATCATCCTTGCCGGCAGTACTTGCACAAAGCTGTGCTGCTTCTTCGCGTGTCAGTGTACGCTTTGAGTAGGCCATCCAAGCAAACAACTCCTTGGCTATTCGACACTGCTCCGCAGTGATGCTGCTTTGACACTCAGTTAACATCAAGCTGTACAAGTCTTTCAGACCGTGAGGTAGATTTCGGTCGAGGTCCTTCACTACTGCTTTCTCACGTCCGATATAATTCAGTCGACGAAGTATGTATTCCACATAAAGCATGCCTGGGTGATCTGTTAGTGTATGCAAACAGATAAAATCAAGTCCATACCATCTGCATTCCTTTTAAGCTTGTTCGTAATTCTGCTCTTAACAGATTTGCGGAACTTCCTGAGGTGCGGGAGGACTTCCATTCTTTTCAAGACGAACTGTTCGATATCAGTCTTGATCTTTTCCTTGGTCATGTGGATAACCAGCGGATTCAAAGTCAGAATTTCATCAGATATCGCAGATCGAGCAGTCAGAAGAACGTGAATATTCAGATCCTCGCTTGATATCTTGGCTAGGCATTCCATCAGACTTTAGGTTCCATCTCATTCATCTCATCAACACCATCAATCACAAGCCACGTATGGGCGTCGCCCTTGGATGGGAATCGTTCAGTAAAACAAGTTTTCCAAAGGTCGAGGACACCGGAAGAAAAAATACTTGTGTCGAGTGCGCTAGCCAACTCTTCGAGGTAATTCGGATTCTTTTCAGCAATTTGAATCGAAAGACAACACAGCGAATTCTTGAAAGAAGTTAACCCATCCTGACCTTCCTTGAAAGAAAAGCTGGCATAGAAGCTGGAATTGGTGGAAGATTTCTCCAGATCCATAGCGATGGTTTGGCTTAAGAAAGATTTTCCAATACCGGCACCACCTTCGATCCAAGCAACATCGTTACCATTTGTGGAAGCCCACCCCTTGTAATTTTCTTCTTCGAAAATCCATTGACCCGTACCGTCAATAGAGCCTTCGATCCGACTATTTTCTTGACTTCTCGCTCGTGAACCAGCGTTCAAATCAAAACCTGGATAAAAACGCTTGAAATTCCCCTTGACTTCAGCCAGAGCAACGCGTCTCTTCTCTCCTGGGTCAGTTTTTCCTCTTTTTGGATGGTATTTAGTGACGTCATTATTATTCGAAGTGACAAGGGACTTTTCATTGGCCCTTACCATCCATTCCTCAATCTTTTTCCAATTCGCTTTTTGCTCATAGACGTTCGCAACCAGTATTTCGGTGTATGCCCTTGTGATCCCCCCCGCTAATTCGATTTGGTTGTTGTTGATACCAAGCCCTCCATGTCCTTAGCGATGGACGCGGTGTTTCTCAGCGTCTCTATTCCAACAGCATCACTCAGTTCATTGACAGCCATTTCCATGGCTTTGTATGCCTTTGTTAAATCCGGATCCTCTCCATCAACCAAGTTAAGAAACCATTTCTCTGGGAGATTGTTAGTAAGATTCAAAAACAATACTTCTTCGTAGCACATACTGAATCGCCCGTGCTTTTTTGAGTACATCTGGGCTATAGCAAAGATTTCCAGCATATTGGTAAAGACACAAATAACGGCATTCAAGAATCCTGCCGATTCTGGGGTCCTATTTTCAATGATCGAAAGCCTTTCGAAGAAACGACCTACAAAGGCAAAGTCCATAAATTTGTCGTAATCGGCCGACATTTCATTGAAGCTCTACATAATTGGTCAGCTTACTCCAATTCCATAACGTGCTAAAACCGCATTAAATTCAATTCTAGAGAATCACAAGGAACTCAGGCGACATGGGAGGTTGAAGGACCAGCAATGTATGTGTGACATACGTTCATGACTTGCCCCAAAGCGCAAAATATCAATCCCACAGGCACCGCAGGAGGAAATGCCTTAAATAATTAGCTAATAATCTCATAATTCTAATTTCGACCTAACCCCGCTGCCTTCCCCGCAGTCTCAATTATCTTTAAATGCACTTCTCACTTTATCCGTCTTACCCTTATCATGTCTAAAGTCTCCGAGCTTTTCCGTCTGCTTTTCTATCCCCTTGATCACCTCATCCAGGTTTTTCATCTGGCCTAGGCTAAGGGTTTGACCTGTTCTTCTCTCGTAGGTTGCAATTGCATCCGACCATAAGTTTCCTAGAGTCGAGGCTTGATTTTGGCCATCTGCTGTGGTGCTATATGGAGGAGGTGGAATACTGGTAGCGCCATTCGATGATCCTTTGTCTTTCTCCATTTTTGAATGCACATCCGTTAGGGAAAGGGGATTAGCAAATTATCGTCAAAGTGCCGAAAACAACACAGAAGAAGGAGAATGACTCGAAGAATTCAATAATAAGTAACAAGATGTATTTGAGGGGAAAGGGGGAGGAGGGGGGGTTGCCTCGGATGTGTTGAAACTTAAATTGGTACCGGTTAAGTATTTTGAGGCTATGATACTGGGGGCAGTAAATTCCTTGATGATGCATTAAGAAATTTCCTGTTATGTCCAGCTGAGCATAGGATGTATGTATGCATACATGTGTGTATCGTGACTCGAATTTATTATTGGTAGCCGTGAACCAGGATGCATGGTACTTTCAATGATTGGCTGCCTGATCGCATACCAGAGAACGGATGGGGAAAATTGCAACGTAGCGCTTACCTATGGTGCTTTTGTAAGGGAAATTCCGAAAGCAAATTTCAGTTTGAGCCCCTGAATATCAAATGTAACTACAGCCATATGCATAACTATCATTACAAACTCGATTTTCACGAACACCAAAAAAAGTGCGAATCTGTAGGGGCATGGGATAAATGTTCCTTTTCTTTTCTACAGCCCCTTCGCAAAAGTAGCAAGAATCTAGGGTATCTTACTAGTGTATCAGGGCATTGTGCAAGGTATTTTGTATGTGAATTGCCTATTCCCACAGTTTCTAGGGTCGCGAAACATCTTGCTACTTCTGCGAAGGGGCTGTATATACCTGGTAAGAGACGTACCATTGCTCTGACAAATACCGACCGGTACTCGAGTAGTTCAAAACAATCCTATTGTCACTTTTTATTTCCTATTAATCTAAATATGTTGGGACAACTGACTCACTTATCTCCTCAATGCCGAATATGTAAGAGAGGCGGGCATCACTCTATACACACCTGAGTTATAGAAATATTATCCTAAAGACCTTACACAACTAAATCAATTATACGAATAGTTTAGAACAATCGTTACTTTTCAATTCTTATTGTGTTAGGTGAAATAGGACAATTAAGTTACTTGTACTAGAGTTTGAATATAATAACTTCTGATAGCGTGTACAGAGCAATGCTCGCCTCTCTTACGTTTGAATTTTCAAGTTTGCGATCTCCTAATTAAGCAGTCGGACCGGTCGGAATTATGCCTAAGCGCGCTACGGGGCTTGGTCCGAATTGCTCCGCACCAATTAAACAATACTATTGTTAAGCACCGAGCCAAAAAGTAGATACGTTAAACGTAAAACTCCAAGCATAAATATCTAGCATCGAGGAGATACCCTCTAGCCAAGGTAAAGAGCTCCTCGCTAGATGAGTACTGATTAAGGGGTTTTAGGTCAATCCATATTAATATTACTAGGTCTATAGTTTCGCACATGGATTATCACAACTATATCATTCACTGGTAATACTCTTTCTACGCACACAAAGCGGATCACTTACGTAGAATGTCTAAATGTAGATCCTGCTTGTCTGTCACATCATTACCAGCTTCAAAAATAGTAATAAACCCCTCCTGCAACGCATCTCTCTTAAGCTTTCTATCTAACCATGTCTTTATGGTAAGCGACGATGGCAATCCTAACTCAGCGCTCCCCGAATTTGGGCAAACATATTAGTTAGGTTTGTAGCTTGCTATTTGCGATCCCTATGTGCTTGACACGGTGAATCCTTTTGTATGTGGCATGTAAGGTCGAAAATCCCGCTTGAAACTCTACGGCAACAACATCCTCGCTTGTCATCTCCTCTCATTAGAATAGTAACTATTCCACGTGTCAACCCGATCATCACACTAACCCATGCCCTCCATCACCTAACCCAAAAATGGACTCAGAAAAATCCCCGTTCATCTACGAAGTCCACTGCAGAAAACCCGACGGCAGCACAAAGATCTTCAAATACAACGAGCAAGCACCATCCTACCTCTGCAAGCCCCTCGAACCCGGCCAACCCCGCATCGCCATCCTGGAAGAAACAAGACCTCCGTCTCCCTCATCTCAAAACACTCTACAGAAATTAGAGACAGTGAATCCTGGCTGTGCGCCATCTGCAAGACACCCACCCAGGAAGCCCACGAGTCCGCGATGTCGTTCCTGGCACCTATTGTTCAGAGGGGCGGGGAAGGAAAGGGACATGAGTCAGTTGTGTTGGGTATTAGGATAGCTGCTTGTTCTGAGGCGTGTAATAAGAAGGCTCAGCAGATGTCGTTTTATATGGGACGCCGATTTGGAGTTGAGTTGCGAGGGGAAAGGACGTTTTCGGACTTGTGCTGTAAGTATTGTGGGAAGAAGATGGGTCTTTGGGCTATAGGGATGCTATTACGGATGTGTAAGTTGAAGTTGTATTGTATGATTGCACGAGTCTGACAGGTATTGCAGGGTTTGTTCGAGAGATTGTATTGCGACTGATAAAGAACAAGAGAAGGGTAGAGAAGATCTCGTGATGAAGGTACAAAGGTAAGCAAGGGGAAAGGTACTGTACGACTATGGGCTGTAAGTAAGACAAGACTTTACTTCACGAAAAGTCAGCAAGTCACTTCAAATTCTTGTAATAAGAATGTGTACTCAGCTACAAAGTCAAGAATGACCAGGGAAAGATTTCAATTAACAGCTGTAATCGAAGTTGAACTCTGGAAAGTTCATCACCCTTGCCGACTTCACTCTTCTCTCTCCTCAAACGAACCTCCATCTTAATCTTGGTAGCTTGATCCTGCACATCTCAAGAAGCCCCCCATCATTCATGCTATCCAGCCGCTCCCTCCATTCAGCTCATCTTTGGAACCATCACTTCCGAAAAGAGCTGTATGAACATCCCTCACCATAAATTGGTCCCAACTTCCCGCACCAAATTGACCAAGTCACCAGGCGAAGCATCCCCTGAAGATGCTTTCATCCACCCTTTGCGTATGGCGCAGTTTCGAAAGTTGATTTGATCGGTGCGATTGGTTTGTCGGTGTTCTGAACGTAGTCGGAGGAGTTTGGATATTGTGTTGTATTCCTCGAATAAGAAGTCCATCTCCATCTAGAATCTGCGATAGCTCTCTTGACGTCAGAAAGGGTACCATTTCAATGCGCGTAAATAGAGGACGAACGGCTGGTCGATGAAGCTGGTCCCTGCGCCCAGCATGTCTATCTGAAATTTGCTGATTCTGGTCGGTACGCCCAGTGTATTGTGTAATATTGGTGAAGTTACTGGTCCCTGCGCCCAGTCTGTCGTCATTTTTTGAAAAAAAGGCCCTTCGCTACGAAGAAAGCCAGAAGGCAGAAGATAAAAGCCCTTCGCTACGAAGAAAGCTAGAAGCAGTCAAGTCTAAAAGACTATCTGCTTATGCTGGTCCCTGTGCCCAGGATGTTGTGTAGTTGCTGTTGTTGTTGTTGAAAGCCCACGAGCAGATCGCCGAAACGATCACTCAACGAACGCGAGATGCCATGGTGGAAGATGAGAGTTTGCCCGCGCTAAGTCAAAAGGCCAAATTCACTCCGTGCAGTGAAACTATTGCGAAGATTAGCATTCAATTCACGCAGATGTTCTGAATTTATGAATGATCGTTGCGCGTAAGATTACTTACTTTGGCTTGGGGCCTCTTGCCAAAGGAAACTCCCTCCACACCCATCCCCCTGGCCGCGACGCAAAATCAATGTGGCAAACCCTGCTCCGTGCAGCGAGACTAGGAAAATGATCAGTATTTACTCCACGGGTTATCGCGTAGGTTTTCGAATGGGTTGTTGGGAATGAGGGACAGGGGAGTAGGTACCTACTTTGTATAGCCTCTTGCCAAAGGAAACTCCCCCATCCCCTCCGCCGCGACGAAAGCCTCCCCCCGCCAACGCAGCAAACCCCACTCCGTGCAGCGAGACTAATAAAAAGATCAGTATTCGATGCGCACAAGTGTTTCTAATGAATTGAGAAAATCGTTGAGTGGTAGGGGGTACGTACTCTGGGTGGTATTGTCGTTGTCGTTGGCGTTGTCGTTGGTTTAGAGAGGGGAGAAGGAGGAGGGGTCGAGATATAAATATTTAAAAGACGTGCGGGGTTTAAGATTACGCAGCTAAGCTAACAACAATGTCGCGTCTTGGAGAAATTGAGATCACGTGGGTCCTGACGGGGTGGAAGACGAGCGGCCGGGGGATGGTGAAAGTCAGTAGGTAAAGGTGAAAGTTAGTAAAAGAGGACGTCGTCCCAGTAACGAAGGTGAAGGTAAATATAACCTGCGAGAAGTAGAGCACCATTCCCTCCTTTTGCCCCCCTCAAGGCCAAGGAAACCACTGTGCACGAGTATACCACCACAACGAATTAAAAGAGAATGGATACTTGTACACTATCCCCAAAAAGAGGCAAGGAAAGTGAGAAGCCGACTGTTATTTTACTATGATACTGTACATCCCACTCAAGTCGACACCCCTACCTACATCTATTCCAATTGAATCTAATTTACAACCTCCCCTTAGGCATCTTCCTCTTCTCCTCCAAATCCCCTTTCTTATGAAAATGCGGCGCAGCCTCATGCAACCACTCCGGCTTAATCGGCAAACAACTCCTCATATACTCCTTCGTAGTCTGCACCAGCTCATAATAAACCACCATCTTGATCGGGGGATTACTATCCATCAACACCGAGCTAGGATGGATATACACCGTCGTATTATTTTTGACGGTACGATAACTATCCCCGCCTCGCTGGAGACGCGCCGCGTTAGGGAAGAAGCCCGCCGTGATAGCTTTCTGGATGGGGACGAGATCGTTCTGGCCGACGGTGGAGAGGGTGACTTCTACGCGCTCGCAGAGTTTGGCGAGTTGGTCGCGGACGTCACGGGCGCGGGTCAGGGAGCGTTGTTGCAGGAAGTTTTCCTTGGCCCAGACGAAGGAGAAGTCGCTGTCGACCCATTGGTTCCAGATATTGAGGAGGGTGAGGTGGTCGCCGCCTTCTTTGATGGTGAAGCGAGCGCGGGCCGAATCGGCGTGGATTTTCTTGTCTTTGGGGCGGAAGAAGAGGGCGGATGCTTCGGAGAGCATGGCGACGATGGAAAGGACTTCGTCGACGCAGCCGAGCTTGTCGGCTGCCAGGATGGCTTTAGCGAGCATAGGGTCAGTAGGGAATTCTGCCATCTGTCGACCCATTTTGGTGAGTTCCCCTTGATGATTTAGTGATTGGAGTGCGAATAATTGATTCAGTGCGCCAATCAGGGTTTCGGTAGGTGGTGGATCCATAAATTCGAATTCCAGGAGGTCATTGATACCCAAGGATTTCAACAACAGGACGACTCCATTGAGATTTGTCCTTTGAATTTCAGGTGTGGTACTCTCCTCCATCTCATTCATAAACGCCCATTTCGTGTAAAGTCGGAAACATTTTCCAGGCCCAACACGACCAGCACGACCACTTCTCTGGTTCGCAGAGGCACGTGAGCAAGGAACTGCTACCAATTTTGACATTCCAGTAGCAGGATTGTAGATATTCTCTTTAACAAATCCTGGATCAATGACATATACAATACCATCAATCGTCAAACTTGTTTCAGCAATGTTAGTAGCCAGGACGACCTTTCTTGACCCTTCTGGCGTAGGTTCGAAAATTTTACTTTGAAGTTCTGAGGGAAGGTTTGCGTAAATTGGACAAATGACCAATTCAGGCACTCGACCCCCTAACTTTCGTGAGATTTCTGTGATGTTTTGTTCCGCTGCCTCAATTTCATCTTGACCCGTCAAAAAGACCAAGATATCTCCTTTGCCTTGAGTGGTGTGAATTTGGAAAACAGTAGTGATAGCAGCTGCTAGGTAATTTGCCTCTGGTTGTGGGGTATAATGAATATCAACTGGATATCTTCGTCCAGGAATATTGAAGATAGGAGCATCATCAAAATATTCGGCAAATTTTGATGCATTCATGGTGGCTGAAGAGATTAGAAGCTTCATCTCGGGTCGCTCTCTCGACAAATCTTTCACCAAGGCCAATAGAATATCAGTATGAACAGTCCGTTCGTGAGCCTCGTCGATCATGAGTGCTGAATAACCTCCCAAATCTGGCTCCGTCATGAATTCTCGTAACAGCATACCATCGGTCATGTACTTGAGGACTGTCTTATCACTCGTAGAATCTTCAAAACGGATAGAGTATCCCACCTCATTACCCACCTTGACACCCATTTCATCGGCCACACGAGCAGCAACTGACATGGCTGCTACACGACGAGGTTGAGTACATCCAACTTTCAGTCCGTCTTTAGTATATCCCGCTTCATGTAGATACTGAGGGAGTTGAGTGGTTTTTCCACTTCCTGTTTCTCCTACAATGACCAAAATTTGATGTTGCTCCAGGGCAGCCAAGAATTCATCCCTGTACTGGTAGATGGGGAGACTTTTTCGAGTTTCTTCCATGGAAAGAGCCTTTTTCTCAGCAGCCTTCAACTGCTCTGCTATAAATCTCTCCTCTTTTGACATTCCTTTTCCTTCTCCGGGCAATTTCGAATCCATCACCCACTTGATCCCTTGTTCTTCATCCAAAACATAATCATATTCGCCCTCATTGAATCGTTCAGTGCTTTTGATCTGAGATTTGGCTTTTGCCGCTTGCTCCCTCTCCCACTCCTCATGCTCAGTAACGAACTTTTCCTGTCCGTACTCGTCCTTGTCGACATATCTTTTGTACATGGCCTCTTCTTTCTTCTTCCTATCAATTTTCCCCTTCTCAGTAATATAATCATCGGGCATCGCGTACCCATCTCGATGGTCATCGATTCGTAACCGCTCCTCTGCAATTCGTAAAACCTCCCGATTCTTTGCGAACTCCGCTTTCTCTTTTTCCGACAGCCTCGCGCCACTTCGTAATTCCTCCGTCTCCTCCATGACTTGCTTGCGCAAAAGTGCTAATCTCTCTGCTTCTCTCTTCTTCAGGTACTCTTGACGAGACCTTTCCCGAAGATCTGGGAGCGCAGCATCTCTCGCAGCCGCATCTTCAGCCAGTGCTCGTCGTTGCGCCAGGATGTTTCCCTCCTTTGTCGAAGACCTATCTTCTACCAGCTTCTTAGTTTTGTCCTTATCCTTGGACAGAAGACGTTTTGCAAATGCATCTTTCTCCGCCTGATCCCTCCTCCGTTCCTTTTCTGCGTCTGAAATGTCTTCTTCCTCATCATCCCTGTGATCCGTTTTCAGGCGCTTCGAGGCAGACTCCTGAAACTCCGGCTCTGGTTCCGGCTCAGAAATATACTCTTCATCGCCCCATCGATCCTCAAAATCCGCATCGTTTGCCTCTCTCTTTCGAATCGTTTTCGATCGATGTTCGGCGTCGCGACGTGGGGATCGTTCCCGGCTTCTTTCTCGACTTCGCTCTCTGTGCCTATCGCGTCGGGAGGAAGATGATTTGTCGTGTCTGTGCTTTTCTCTCTTCTTTTCGACGACTTTTGCTGGTCCCATATTCTCATCCTCCATGGGAAGGATGGCATACTTTTTGGCGGCACCCATACTGGAAGCTCTGTTGGTTGAACAGACGTAGAATTGGATTTGGAATATGCGACACAAGTGATCGCGCAATCATGTAGAGTGCTGAGAATCCGAAGGATGAATAGTAAACGTGGTGTTTGATGTTACTAATGGTTGGCCTCGTCTTGTGAGACCGTACTTGCTCTACTCGTACTTCACTGAATTGGTGTTGAGTCGGACAAAATACCACTCGGGCCGAAGGTCGGGTACTACCCGCAGCTATCACGGACCATCACGGGCGGGACAACGGGACGACTGGACCCCTGAAAATCGGCACAAGATCGGAGGGGACAGAACAGCGTGTCTTGAAGCCAGCTGGAGTTCTACTTTTTAGTGTAGAGACTTAGACTGATATTTCCCCAAAAGATCTCTGACCGCATTGTCTGATCGCGTTCCCCTCGTACAGTCCCTCATTTAGTTTTTATGCTGGTCACTATCTAATTCCCCAGTTCGCATTGGATCGTTCCTTTGCAGGCGCATACTCGGCGCAAACATAACATAACTCACCATGCGGCTCCCTTCGACTTTTTTGGTGCTGCTGTGCATGCTGCAATTAGCTCTCTGTGCCGAGGATTTCTACAAAGTGAGTTCGCCTGTCAACTTTGAGACCATTTCTACAATTCATATAACATTTACTAACCTCCCACAGCTCTTGGAAATAGATAAACAGGCGTCAGATAAGACTATTAAAAGTGCATATCGCAGGCTGAGCAAGAAATACCACCCGGACAAGAATCCGTAAGAGTGTCCGACTCCTATATCTTATGCACATTATATCTAACCCGCGCAACAGTGGGAACGAGGCAGCAAAGCAAAAGTTCGTCGAAATCGCCGAAGCCTACGAAGCCCTCTCCGATTCCGAGTCGAGAAATATCTACGACAAATATGGCCACGAAGGGTTGAAGCAGCGGCAACAGGGAGGAGGAGGTGGGCATCACGATCCATTCGACGTCTTTTCCCGATTCTTTGGGGGTGGTGGACATTTCGGGCACCAACATGGTCAACGAAGGGGTCCAGATATGGAGGTTCGAGTGGGTGTTCCCCTTCGAGATTTCTACAATGGACATACCACCGAGTTTCAACTGGAAAAGCAGCAGATTTGCGAGGAATGTGAAGGGAGTGGGAGTGCAGATGGAAAGGTCGAGACGTGTACGAGCTGTGGTGGCCATGGTGTCAAGATTCAGAAACATATGCTGGCTCCTGGGATTTTCCAGCAAGTACAGGTGAACTGCGATGTCTGCGGCGGCCAGGGGAAAACCATCAAGCATAAATGTCCAGTCTGCGCTGGAACGAGGGTGGTGCGAAAGGTCAACACATTCCAATTGGTCGTCGAGAGGGGTGCGCCAAAAGGCAAAAGAATCATATACGAGAACGACGCTGACGAAAGTCCCGATTATGTCGCTGGTGACTTACATGTCACACTCGTAGAAAAGGAGGCCAACCTGGTAGAAGACAACGAACTAAAAGTCGACGGAACCTTCTTCCGGCGAAAAGGCGATAACCTATATTGGAACGAGGTACTCTCTCTCCGCGAAGCCTGGATGGGAGACTGGACTCGCAACCTCACGCATCTAGACGGGCACATCGTAGCCCTCAGCCGCCCACGCGGACAAGCCATCCAACCGGGGCAAATCGAGCACGTAAAAGGAGAGGGAATGCCAAAATGGCACGAGGACGGTGATAGCGTCTACCACACAACCGAATTCGGGGATTTGATCGTGGAGTATACCGTCGTGCTGCCGGATCAGATGGAGAAAGGGATGGAGAAGGATTTCTGGGCCCTGTGGGAGAAATGGAGGAAGAAGAATGGGGTTAATCTGCAGAAAGATAGTGGGAGGCCTGAGGGCCCGGTTCAGGCCCATGGGAAGGGGAAGGATGAGTTATGATTGATGGCGCGATGAGGGCTTTTTGGAGTTTAATATAGAAGGCTGTAAATGTGAAGATTATGAATCTGTCTTGTAAGGACTAGGAGAAATCCATTTTCTTTTCTTTTCCTGTTTCCTGCTTATTATTGTATCTTTTTTAATTTTAAGTGAGATCAGGTTGATTCATTCTATGTACTTTTTCGTCCCAATGGTTTTCTTAAGTTTTCACAGTTCTGTTTCTGCTCATCAGCAAGGGGGGCGTGGCGGGATTGGCGGGATTAAGAAGCGTGGACGTGGGCGCTTAATATTCTACCGAAACTCTTTTATACTGTAAGATACATACTCGCTTAAGTACAGGGACGGCATTACAATACGGATGATCTTTCAACTAAATACTATATCTTAATATGTATACTTGTACTTCAGAATACTTCGTCCTTGTCGGACGTGATAAATGTTGATTTTTAGTTATTGGGTTAGTGCGGGATTTCGTGGTGTGATATATGTAGGGTGGGCATTCGTAGGAGGAGGAGGAGGAGAGGTAAGGATGGAAGGGTTGTTGGTTTTTAGATTTGATTCAACCCCCAGACGTAACAAAAGTTGAGTCTACGGGGGGTGTACAGTGGAGAACAGGGTAAGAACCCCCCGTAAACTCAACTTTTGTTACGCCTGGGACGAAATGCTGATCGACCAGCTACTCCCGCTATTTATGAAGCAAGTTATACAGTAACGTACATGACCGCGGAATGACTCCGTAGGCATGTCGCAGAACAACGTGGGAATACAATGATTATACGACTTAAATGTAACGAATACTCAAACTGGCTAACTAAACTTGGCTGGGTGTTCGCTGGTTGGTATGCTATGATAAGAAGAATACTATCGGGTTGTTCACTTGGAAGTGAACTCGTTACTTGTATCAAAGATGTCAAACTAATATGATAAGATTGATAACTAAGTTGAGCACGAAGCTCCTATCTAATGGCAGACGTGCCAGTATTATATAGAACCTTCGTTCTCGCGGATCAGTGCTCATTGCCCTGATCGATCCTGATTCCTCAGAGGTCGTCAGTCCGACCACCTCTGATGCCCATCAATCACGTGACAGTAACTAAAGGAAATCCATGGATCGCTTAGCTGGCCTAAGCAATCCCTATTTGCTATAAGAAACCTGGATGTGCCTGTCGAGGGTTGCGCCTCTTTATTATGACAAGTATCACGTGAGCACGTGATTCGTGACATTAAATACCCTGATTTCCGGGTCCCGTACGACTTTACTACCTTTTCCCCTGTAAACTCTCTTCTATCCCTTGCGCTACCCTCGTCGTATAAAATTAAAGGGATAAATACGTCTTAGAGGTAATTTGAGCCCTAGAATATTAATACTACTTTTCTTCTAAGCTATAGGACGCCTAACTCGCGAGTAATAAAGCAAGAGAGTAAAGGGGAAAAATAAAGCTATTTGTAACTTTAAAAGTACGTAGGATAATTAAGCAGTTTATAAGTAGCTAGGTAGCTACCTTATATCTCCTCCTACGTAGGTAGGTATAATTAGAAATATAATTTAATTTAATAAGTGTCTTAGTTACTGCCTCTTAGCTACTTTTCCTTACCCTGAAAAAGAATAAGTATAAACTATAAGCTAGCTAGCTAATTTTGTAACGAATACTCAAACTGGCTAACTAAACTTGGCTGGGTGTTCGCTGGTTGGTATGCTATGATAAGAAGAAGACTATCGGGTTGTTCACTTGGAAGTGAACTCGTTACTTGTATCAAAGATGTCAAACTAATATGACAAGATTGATAACTAAGTTGAGCACGAAGCTCCTATCTAATGGCAGACGTGCCAGTCTTATATAGACCCTTCACTTTCCTGTACTTTGCCAGGACCGCTGGTCGGTCCTGTCGTTCCAGAAGTTCAGACCGATCGTCGGTCCAGTCGATCCAACTAGTCACGTGATAAGATACGAAGGAAATCCCTGGATCGCTTAGCTAGTCTAAGCATCCCTATTTGCTACAAGAAACCTGGATGTGCCTGTCGAGGGTTGCGCCTCTTTATTATGACAAGTATCACGTAAGCACGTGATTCGTGACAGGTAGCTAGGGGGAGCCCCCTCTACCTCAAGTATTTTAATAGAATACTTAACGTGGTTTATCAGCGAGTCGATCATATCACCGAGTCGATCACTTTTTCTTGGCACAGAACTTTACACCTAAATAAATCAACCACAATATATTAAATTAATTATCGCTCTCTATATCTGACGAACTAGATATATCTATAACTTCTTGACAAGTTCGCGCGTTATGACCAGCTTTTCCACAAGTTCTACAGCGCCGCCTAGAAGGTTGCCCCTCCTTATAACCAACCCCCGCCTCACGCATGTCGCGTCGTACTTGCTCCTCTACATCCTCCTGAGCTAACATATCCTGTACATCCTCTACTATAAGTGCCCCTCCTTGGCGGACACGAGTCTTTTTAGCCCTACGGCGTTTACTTAGGGCTTCATTTGCAGCGCGAAGGGTACGGACCTCAGCAGACAAAAGGGTCATCTCATGTGCCATTCGCTCTGTACCCTTTGCTAACGCAGCAACTGTTTGAAAAAGTGGAGTTGGCGAGCTTCCTTGATGACAGGCTATACGATTTCGTACAAGAGTTGATTGTGAAAGGGCTTCAGTTGGGTTGGAAGGGGTCTGGGACACCCAGGGGAGGGAGTTGGCACTACACGTCCGAGGGGGAGTTGGAGTCCGTAACCTTACGTCAAGCTTTGAAAGCACTGCTTGCGGGTTAAATGGTACTAGGCCAGCTCCGCGGAATCCAGACTGACAGTTTAGGACTGTCATTGTTTCCTTGTATGCTGCTGTAAAGGCTAGAAAGAACTCAACCTTTGTAATATGGTTGATATGGGCCTTGATAAACGTCTCAATCTGCCGACCATACGCTCGTTTTAACACACTATAGCACCCAACATCAAGTGGCTGGGTTAGATGGGATGAATGAGGAGGTAGTCCAAGAGTAATAATGTTGTGTTTCGTACAGTAGTCTTGGAACTCAGCCGATTCATGACTCTCGTGCCCATCCAAAACTAGTATTCGATACAGACCCTTTGCACGAGCTGTAGTGTGTTTATCAAAGTGCTTTAACCATTCCAGGCCTGTTTCATTATTTGTCCAACCATTGCTTGTCGGTTTCATAACCCAGTTAGGTGGGAGGCCGCCGTCGGTATACCAGTTGGAGAGATGGTTCTTGCCCTGAACTACCAAGAATGGAGGAATACTCCAGCCCTCCCCATTAATACAGGCAATTGCTGTAGCCCATTCCCGATTGCCTGGCTGAACTGCCTTGCCTCTACCACGTCGGTCTGCACGAGTAACAACCATTCTAGGACAAATAACACCCATCATAAAGCCTGTCTCGTCGAAGTTGTAGAAGTCGGAGTCTGTAACCCCATATTTCGCCCTCATATTCTCTACTAGCCGGAACCATGCGCCTAGCACGTCAGGATCTTCGCATAAGGCCCTCTGGAAGTCGTAAACGCGATTAAAACGCGTCTTAAGGTCTGGTTGTCGTTGTACGAATCGATGGGCCCAGAGCTTGCCGACGCGTCTTCCCCCCCGCGATTCAAGGATAAAATTAGCCATATCTTCTACACCAGCGAGCCGGGGCGCAAATCCTCTGGAATCCATATCCAGTATATACCGAATAATCACTTCCTCTTCTAACTCAGTCAACTTATGACAATTGGCTTGAGAATCTGGGCGGTAGGTTCGGCCAGCCATTCTGTCGGAAAGAGTCGTATATGGTACATTGTAGATCTTTGCCGCAGAGCGTTTGCTTAGTTTTTTGGACGACCGAATAGCCTCGATAGCTAGAGTAATTCGCGCTTCTTGAGTTTGAATTTCCATGGTAAATAGTTGAAGAAAACGTGTGTTGAAGTTTGAGGGGGTAGTGCCAAGGAAAAGTGATCGACTCGCTGATATGATAGACTCGCTGATAAACCACGTTAAGTATTTTAATAGGAGCCTATATACGTCCTTAATCTATAGCAAGGGGGTACTCGAGTATAAATACTTCTAGTAGGCGTAGCTCTTAACGAAGCGTACTTTTAACGAACCTAGCGAACTAGTATACTTTGACGAACCTAGCGAACTAGCGTACTTTAACGAACCTAGCGTACTTGCGAATAGCCTTATTTTCTACCTTATTTTTAGCCTTTCCTTCCTACTCCTCTCCCGTGTCACGAATCACGTGTTGGCATGTGATAAGTAAAGACCAGGCGGCGTCCTGACAGGTTAAGCACCATCAACACACTCTTATAGCAAATAGGGATGCTTAGGCTAGCTAAGCGATCCAGGGATTTCCTTCGTATCTTATCACGTGACTAGTTGGACCGACTGGACCGACGATCGGTCTGAACTTCTGGAACGACAGGACCGACCAGCGGTCCTGGCAAAGTACAGGAAAGTGAAGGGTCTATATAAGACTGGCACGTCTGCCATTAGATAGGAGCTT